TGGTTTTTATGCCTGTATTACCTATTCACATGAGGCTCCGTCTAACATACTTTGGACATGTTGTGATGAGAGACCGGTTCTTGGAGAGGGACATCATGCTTGGGAGAGTGGAGGGACGGTGCAGGAGAGGAAGGCCCTCTATGAGGTGGATTGATTCAGTGACTGGGATAACTGGGATGGGAGTGTCAGGGACAGTGCGATTGGCACAGGACAGAGCGGAGTTTAGGGCTGTTGTACATAGGGTCGCTATGAGTCACAAGTGACTCGACGGCACCTAACAACAACAACAAGAAGAAATGTGTGTGTATATATATATATTTGTTGTTGTTGTTGGAAAAACTGGATATTTTTTTGCAGAAAAATTAAGCAGAATCTATACATTATGCCATACACAAAATATAACAGAACATAAATCAAAGACATAATTATAAAAACCTAAGGTGATAAAGATCATAAAATAGGAACAATCCTAAGGACCATAATATGACATAAATGTTTTATTACAAAAACTTTATAAACAGCAGAAAATAGACAACTGAGAAAACTTTAAAAAAGGTGGCTTATAGTGAGTTAATTCTAATTTATAGCAACTCTTAGATTTCTGAGAGTATAAATCTTAAGGGAAGGATACTGTTGGTCTTTCTCCTGCAGAGCTTCTGGTGGTTTAGAAATACAGGGGAAAAAATTATTACTTGCATAATATGCTGTGAATGCACCACAAGAGCTCCTTTGGCAACTGAGAACACCTAGAAAGTATATACTTGAGAACAGGCAATCACATACTTCAGGCATGTTGCTAGGAGCGGTATTCCTTGGAAAGGAACATTATGCTTGGAAGGGTGGATGGTTGGTGAAGGAGAAGTCCCTTGACCAGGTGGATTAACATGATGCATGATGACTGCCACAATAGGCTCTATTGTGTCAGAAAGTGTGAGGATGGCACAGGATTGAATGGGGTTCAGACCTGTTGTTCATAGGGTCACTATGAATTGTGCTCAACGTGATGGCACAGGTATCCTGCAGGCCGGTATCTTTGGACTCTTGCTTGTTGGCTGTATCTGTGCCCTCCAGCGAAGATGACCCAGGAGGGCTGGCAGGCAGGCTAGTTTCCAGGTCTCTATCTTTTCCTGGCTGACTCTCAGCTGGACCTGTTGTGAGTCCTTCATCTGATATTTTACTGTTTCTCCTCTTGCAAGGAGTAGTGGAAGTACTCTCTCTGGATATTCCGCAGTCACGCTCTGCACCGCAACAGCACCCTCGGGAGATCAACTCCATGTGTCATCTCTGCTGACTTCCCTCTTCCTGGGGCTCTTTCTGGGGTTGTACATGGCAGCACGAAGGAGACCACTTCATTTCCACTGGGGGCAGGGGGAAGACAAGGGATCTGGAATTCCCCAACCCTGGGACCTGCAGGTTTAGCGAAGAGATGACAGGAACTCCACTCTACAGCAGCCTTCTTGGCCCAACAGGCTCAGCGGTGACTGGACAACACAGGCCTCATTCCCAGAAAACCACACCAGACCACCTCTGCCTCGGTTAGCAAGCACCTAGTTTATATATTTTTAAGGGCAGAGGGAAAATACTGTGAACTAACAGATGACATAGAAATTACACTGAGAATTATGGATTTTATCAATCTGGACTAGTAAGAATGGTCATATTTTTATTGATGATGATTATTATTAATTTATAGAGATTATATTTTTGAGAAGTATGAGGAAGTTAGTTAGTTGATTGGGAAATGATGCATTTCTATATATAACATGGCCATGTAAATATCACAATTACTGTGTGATTTGCAAAAAACTGTGTAACATGTACATTATTTGCTTGTTAGGTGCCATCAAATTGAGAACGACTCATAGATCTGTGAACAAAAGATCTGAACCCTGTTCTGTCCTGCACCATACTCACACTTCCTGACACACAACAGCCCATTGCAGCAGTCACCGTGCAGATCTGCCTGGTCGAGGGTCTTCTTTGCATTCACCGACCTTCCATGTTTGCCAGTATCATGTCCCTCTCCAGTAATAGGCCCTCCTAGCAACAGGCCCAAAGTATGTGAGTTGAAGTCTCGTCATTCTTCCCTCCAAACAGCACTCTGACTGCACCCTCTCTAAGACATATCTGTTTCTTTTGGTTGTCCATGGGTTGTTCAATGCTTCTCTCCAACACCACAGCTCAAAAGCATCAATTCTTCTGTCATTCATTGTCTAGGTCTCGGATGTATAGCAAGTGATCAAAAAGGCCTGAATCAGATGCACTTTTGTCCTCAAACTGACATTGTTACTCCTCAATAATACGGAGATGCCCCTAACTGTAGATTTTCCAAGTGCAATGACTCTCCTTATTTCCTGACTGTTGGTACTAAGAATATTAATTGTGGATCTGAACAAGATGAAGCTGTTGACAGTTTCATTCTCCTCTCCATCCATCATAGTGTTGCCTATAGGTCCAGTGGTAAAAAAAATCTTTGTTTTCTTGACATTGTGATGCAATCCATACTGAAGGCTGCATTCATTGATCTTCCACAACACATTCTTCCTATTCTCCTCACTTTCAGCAAGCAAGATTATTGATGAGTCTTTCTCCAATCCTGATGCCATCCTCCTCCTCATAGAGTTCACCTTCTCAAATAATTTATTCAGTAT